AATCTATTTTTATATTCCAGTGAGATTTGCAGCAAAGAATAGAGCACCAGTAAAAAGAGGAAATAATTTCTGTGCTGTACCTGGGTTTTTCTCACTTCCTTATTTTAAAATAATCACCTAACAAGTCCAAAAATTCAGAACAATAGTACAGTCTTCTATGCACTGGGTATATATCCCTGCAGACATTTTGGAACTAAACTGAACCACTTAAAAGGTTCTGGGTAATTTGCCATCTATTTAGAAAATTTATAATGATATATTACAGCGCTGGGGGGCTGGAAGAAACCTTCCAAATCATCTGGTCCAACCCCATCACTTTATAGATGAAGATCTTAGAAAATAAACTGGCTGCTCCAACACACTGAAGACCCTTAATTAAAACATTTGCTCAATTTTAAGGTGGCTGACAAATTTGGAGAGAGGGGATGGGAAATAAAATAAAACCTCCAAAACATCTTTTAGTGGCATAGTAATTATGATCAATGGTCCTATTAAATGAATAAGCAGTGAGGATCGTGACGGAAGTATACCCCCACTCCAATGTCAGGACCACTTACATCTGGAAAACTGAGAGGTTTAAAGCTGTCAGAGCTAACACATTGAATCTATGGGTTGGGGACCAGGAAGAAAACTCAGGAGCCCTACCCTGAAGTCTACTGGCCTAAGCATCAAACGCTGGTCTAATTTTATACCTAAACACTGGTCCAGGAGTCACCCTTATGTGATGGTGCCTTCATTTCCAGAAAAAGTAGAGATTTGAGAAAATGGTCCAGGCATAACAGAGATACATGACAATTGACGTGACAAAGGAAGGGTGGCTTAGACCTTAGCTCAGTTTTCAGTGGACCCCTGACCAGCCGCATCAGCATCACCTGGATGCTTGTTAGAAGTGCAGAATCTTGGGTCCTAACCAGACCTATGGAGGCAGAATCTGCATATTGACAAGAATCCCAGGTCCTCCTGCCCACATTGAAGTTTGATAAGTATTGATACTTATTTAGATAACACAGCAGCAAGAGAAAGTGTAATTAACTGCCTGTAACCACATTCAATCCAAGTTTCTGGAATAATTACCTCCATCACCAGCTCTACTTTCTAAAGCTTTTGATCTTTAAGCCTTATTTTAAATTTTAAATGGTCTAAAATTTAGCCTAGGGCTTCCCTGGTGCCACAGTGGTTGACAGTCCGCCTGCCGACGCAGGGGACACGGGTTCATGCCCCGGTCTGCGAAGATCCCACATGCCGCGGAGCGGCTGGGCCCGTGAGCCATGGCCGCTGGGCTTGCACGTCCGGAGCCTGTGCTCCACAACGGGAGAGGCCACAACAGTGAGAGGCCCGCGTACCGCAAAAAATAAAAAATTAAATTTATCCTAAATTTTAAATGGTCTCAATGAATATCTTATTAAATAGTAATATTTGTTGACAAAAATTCAATTAATTATCAATTTAAGAAGACAAAAAGGGAATTTTATCTGAGCCATACTGAGGATTATATCCCAGGAAGCAGATTCTCAGAAAACTCTGAGAACTGTTCTGCCTGTTAGAAGTTGAAGGCACATGATATACATTTCTGAAACAAAGGATCATACATCAACATGACATACTGATATTTTACATAAAGTTCACCAAGGATAAATGGTCCAGGTAGGCACATACAAAGCGAGCAGCAAGTCACCGTGACCCCCTACAGGGCTGGGAAAGAACACTATTGTTTTAAGAAGTTATACTGCTAGTGTCAGAAGAAAGAAAAAAAATTGATCTTTATGGTTGAGCAAGCACTCCCATCTTTGAGGAGCTCTGGTTAATGTGTAATGCAGATGCACACTGCACATTAGGGAGGGAGGGAGGAGGTCCAAACAAACACAAAGAGAGAATTTTATGTTTAATTTTTTCTTATCCTGCCTTAAAATATAAATTTTATTTCATCATGTTTTCTCACAAACTGTCTTAAAATTGAGAAAAAAAAAATACAAATATTCTGGGCACATTACTATTTTCAAGGGTTACACAGATTATGGATTGAAGTCTTTTTTCCTGCTATTGTCTGCTGGGGTCATAGTAGAAACATGACCAATATTTCTTCAGTTGGGAGTTAGAAACCCCAGGGAGATTTGGTGAAGGAGAAAGACTGAATTTAGAATAGAAATGTTTTCCTAGCAGAAAAAAGAGAAGCTTCAGGTAAGGGAATTTTATGATCAAAAGGTTGTGAAGCTCACATGGTCCAATCATGGTTCCAAAGCTGAATTCCTTTTACGCCACACATGCAGTCTCTGCTTGCACACTCCCAGTGATGTGAAACTCATCACCTCCAAAGGCTACCCATCCCATCTTTACATGCTCTAATTGTTAGAAAGATGCCTGAAATTTGTCTCCCTGTAGCTTTCGATAGCCCCACAATCAGTAACCCCACAATCACTGTTCCTACCATTAGCTCATTCCCATTATCAATTTTCCATTACATTTCCCAGTGGAATTTTTGTTAACAGAGAAAGTCAAAGAAACAAGTTTCATGTATTTATTTCTCATAGTACTGGAGCAGCTTGTATAGTGGGGTGTATGAAATTTTTATTTTTTGCTTTTATTTTGAAGTGTCTTAGGAAAACCTCATGTGTACAATGGGATATTAAAATGAATAATCGCAAGTTGTAGAGACTGTAACCAAGGACATAATCATACCAGAAGCCTAGTGTAGGGATAATACTGTCCTTAAACACTGTTTTAGCCCTAAACTTCCCGGGAGTCAAAGCAGGTATGAAATAGGGCAAGAAGGTGGGGCTTCAAAAATGTCTGAGACTCTCTGGCCTAGGGGACTCTAGGTTATCAGCCGTGGAAAGTGTCTTAGATCAAGTCTAATCCCACCTCTTACAGAGAAGGAAACTGAAATTCAAAGAGGCTACATAATTGCCTAATATTGGGCACCTAGTAAGCAGCAGAGACAGGCAATAGAGTGTCACTACTCATTTTTGCTAGAACGCCAGACCTTGAGTCTTGGGTTTGTTAAGAAAGCTTGTCCAGCACAAAAATCAGAGATAATAGCACCACATTACTGGGCCAACAGGACACTCCCAAAGCAAACCCAAGCCATTCCTGGCACACACAAAGACCTCTAATCCCCCAATTCGCAAGTCTAATACCAGATAAGAAAATGATATTGGAGGCATAAGCCACCCTTCCTCCTACTCTTTTTCCTGTAATTCCACTTGTCCCTACATATCCATTGATTCTGAACTACAGAGATTTTCCACTAAGCAGCTTATTTTAATCTCCCATGAAAATAATCTCTTTCTGATGAGAGGTTATTTGCTCTCAAAACAGAAACACCACTGTGAAACACTTCATTCGTTCTGGAACACTTGAAGCTAAAGTCTCATAGCACACTGAGCCAGAGCCATTAGTGAAGAGTAAAATATCATAAGCGATCAACTTACCTAGGCATCTGAACATTGGACTCATCCAAACGATATTCAAAGAATTCCTTTTACCATCTATTTTTAAAAATAATACCACTGTAGTATTTTAAAGAACAATCTGGTAGCGCACACGGCATGAGATGCCAGTACAGTGACAATACATCCATGGTACTCTGAATGATTGGCAGGTGGGTCACAGCAGCCTGCCCACCAGATCATAAGCTCATCCTAAGCAGTGACAGAAGCTCATCCTCAGAAACAATTAGTTGCATCTCACTTCTCTGTAAGTTTCAGCAGACCCCTCAAAGCAATGAAGGGCAATAATGCAAATATGAATTATGTGCTTTTTCTATCCTCGTGTCCTTCCGAAGTAAAAATAAGCAAACCCTGGAAAAATTACTAATCCAGGTCCCAGGTATTTCAGGTGACACATCTTCTATGCTCACACTAGTCACTTATATTACAACATGACCTGGGATATTACTATGTTAGGTGACCTGGTCATATTTATTGGTTTAGAGCAGGCATTCCT